GGGGGGCAGGAGGGACGGTGCTGGGCTGCCCAGGGACCAACTGCAGTGGGGATGCTTGCCCATGTGGGGGGTGATGCTTGCCCATGTAGGGCTGGTGCTTGCCCACATCAGGGTGATATTTGCCCATGTCTGGATGGTACTTGCCTGCATCAGGGTGATGCTCGCTGCATCCAGGCTGGTGCAGGGCTCTGGCTCCTTTGGACAGTGAGGCAGCTGCATGGGTCTGGCCCTGGTGGCCCTGTCTCTGGGCGGGGGTGAGTCCCCCACCATAACCCCCTGTGGAGGTGGGAGTGCCCATGGGGGAGGTACCTCGGAGCACGAGACCTGGGCATTTCTGGGGTGACGCCACCCCCCCAGCTCCCGTCGCTTCCGGCTGTGCTGCCGTGGTCCCCGGCACTTCCTCACAGCTGCTCACAGAACATGTTGTGGTTTCCTCCAGGCCACATTCACCTCCGGGGTCTCACCGTCCTCCCAAATGCTGGGCCACCCACGAGCACCCCTGTGCCAGGAGGTGATGGGAACATCCCAGCCCTGCTGGGTGTGGGATGTAGCGATGCCACCTCCCACGGGATGATGCCAGCAGCCGTGTTCAGCACTAGGAGCTCTCTCTCACCAGCTCTGCATTTGATGCCCCCCTCCCTGTGCCAGCAGTGGGGCTGTGAGCCCCTCAGTTTTGGCCACTGATGGCTCAGAGCTACAGACCCCGTGAGGGTCCCAGCAGCAGTGGGTGCTCGTGTCTGCACCCCGATGGTGTGGTGAGGCTGTCGGTGTGAGGGCACCCCCTCTCCATGGTCAGGGAGTGGTCTGGGTGCAGAGCAGCTCCCTGAGCAGCTGGGGGGGGTTGAACCCTGAGGGGGTTGTAGAAGGGCAGTGAATGATGTCCAAGGAGGTGATGACAGAAGACTCCTTCTTGGAGGGCTGGACAAGCTGGGCAGGGGTGGTGGCCTAGGCTGAGGTTTGTCTTTGAGGTGCTGTTGTCTGTGGGAGAGCAGTCCCCCTGCTGCCCTCCTTGGGGGAGAGGCCCAGATAGGGGACAGCAGATAAGGCACCGTTTGACACTTCTCTAATGGCAGATGTGGCACTGGCCAGACCCTGCCTGGAGCAGGATGGACATCCTTTGGGCA